TGAGGGCTCCGGCGTGGGGCTGGGGATGTGGGATTGGGGGTGCAGGAGGGTGCTCCGGGCTGGGACCGAGGGGTTGAGGTGCAGGAGGGGGTCAGGGGTGCAAGCTCTGGGCGGCGCTTACCTCAAGCAGCTCCCAGAAGCAGCGGCATGTCACCCCTCTGGCTCCTACAAGATGGTGCAGCCAGGCAGCTCTGCACGCTGCCCTGTCGGCAGGCGCTGCCCCTGAGCTCTCACTGGCTGCAGTTCCCAGACAATGGGAGCTGCGGGGGCGGTGCTTGTGGCGGGGGAAGCGTGCAGAGCCCGTTGGCTGCCCCTATGTGTAGAAGCCAGAGGGGGGACATGCCACTGCTTCTGGGAGCCGCACAAGCCCTAGATCCCGCTCCCCAGCTGGAGCGGAGCAAGCCCCAGACCTCGCTTCCCAGCGGGAGCTCAAGGGATGGATTAAAACGTCTGGAGGGCTGGATGTGGCCCCTGAGCCGTAGTTTGCCCACCCCTGGTGTAGAACATGTTTTCAGAAGTCTTAAAAGAGCAACATTCCAATGTGGAAACTACAGAACCCGAACCACCGAAAAAGAAAATCAACCTTCTACTGGTGGCATCTGACTCATGAAAATGAACATGAGTCAGTCCACACTGCTCTGGATCATTACCAAGCAGAACCCGTCGGCAGCATGGACGCATGTCCTCCGGAATGGTGGTTGAAGCATGAAGGAACATATGAATCTTTAACGCATCTGGCATGTAAATATCTTATGACACCAGCTACACTAGTGCCATGAGAAAGCCTGTTCTCACTTTAAGGTGACATTATAAACAAGAAGTGGGCAGAATTATCTCCTGAAAATGTAAACAAACTTGTTTGTCTGAACAACTGTCTGAACAAGAGGTAGGATTGAGTGGACTTGTAGGCTCTAAAGTATTACATTGTTTTGTTTTTGAGTGCAGTTATGTAACAAAAAAAAATCTTACATTTGTAACTTGCACTTTCATGATAAAGAGATTGCACTACAGTACTTGTATGAGTTGAATTGAAAAATACAATTTCTTTTGTTTTTTTACAGATTACAATATTTGTAATAAAAAATATAAAGTGAGCACTGTATATTTTGTATTCTGTGTTGTAACTGAAATCAATATATTTGAAAATGTAGAAAACATCCAAAAATATTTAAATAAATGGTATTCTATTACTGTTTAACAGAGAGATTAATTGTGCGATTAATCACAATTAATTTTTTTAAACTTGACAGCCCTAGTTCTGAGTCATACCCAATCCCAGAAGAAAAGTTTCAAACGCTGTTCTCTAAGTTTTCTGCCTTTCTACCAGTGCAGTCAGAGACATAAGTTGCACCTCTGGGCTGAGAAGTAGATGGAAAGATGATGCAGATGCATGCTAGCAGAGCCAAGCTTACCTCCATGAGTCTAGTTTTTCTTGGGAAAACAGGTTTTCCACATGTTTTGGGGACGGAAATTTTGATTCTTTATTGGCCAAATTGTATTTTATCTATTAAAGTTTTCAGCGCACAGGTCATATTCCTTTAATGCCAGGGAACACTATATAACTTGGGAAACGCTTACTCAAAACTAGAAAGATATAAGCTTTTTTGAAATGTGTGTAATTTATTCATGCCCTTCAGACCTAAACCTCTACTGCTTTTTAGAAAAAGATATATCTCCCTTCAGTAGAATAGCAGCAACTAGTCAAGGATTTCACCTACGAAAGTTTCATTCTCAAAAGAATCAGTTTAATAATTCACAGCTTTTCCATTTACAAAAGGCCCAAGTAAGGCAGCTTTTGAAATTTTGAAGAAGTAAAGGAAACCCCAGAAAGTTTTATTTGGTAACAATTCAACTAAGTGTTTTTAAGTTAAACACAGATGCATCTTGTATGTGGAGGAGCGCAGGAGCCCTTAATCTCAACTATGGATACAATGACCATGGCAGATGGGAGTCTAACTTAGGTGCTTTAGAAAATCCCATCCTAAAGTTACAAAAACAACATATAGTTTGTCTGATCTTTTTGTTTTTACAGCTAGCTAGAGTTCACACCACCACATTAAAATATCACTACCTGCTGATAACCGTGAAGAAGGTTCTCTTGATCTTGAATTTCCTTTTGGATTTGCTTTAACTTTTCTTCAGTGACTGTCTCTGTTGCCCCAAGGTGAAGCCACTTCTTTTCTTTGCTCAGCTCTTCCATACTATTTACCTTTTAAAATATACAAAGCACACAAAACGTCAATAAAACAATTGTTAGACAAAGTTCTCTGGAGAAAGCTTTGCACTAAGTCAGATGGCATCTATAGTCCTTTTTATAATAAAACACATGGAAACAGAGTACTCTGAGCCTTCAAAAATACCGGTGTCATCATAGAAGCATTATCTGAAAAAGTGAAGCACATGAAAGACTGTAGTAATATGCACAACAGGCCCTGTTCAGTATACGGGCTTGTCTACATGGGGAAAACTTACCAGCAGAACTATACCACTAACTCCCCATGTGGACACTCTTATTAAGAGAGTTCACATGGTATAACTGTAGCAGTATACTTGAATTGATAAAGTTCTGGTGGTAACTTTCCCTGAGAGCCAAGCCTTAAGCATAGTTTTGTGGAAAACACATCAGAAAGTGTATATAATTCTGCTTTTATTTTACCAGAAACTGACATTATATTAAACATTTATTTATAGTTATAGTGTAAGGATTTATAATTGGAATGCTGCTCTGGAATGTGTAATATAGGATACGTATACACCGTACACCACTGGTGGTGGCATGTAGTATACATATAGCTACATGCTGCAGTTAAAAGCACACTGCATCCACACCGCAGCATGTAGCCATAGATATCAGTGAAAGACTCTGGCAGAGGAGAGATAGTGGGGAAAGGCTTCAGCAGCTTCCTGCTGCCAGAGCCTTTCCCCACATCCCCTTCCCCCTCTCCTCCCCAGCCTTTCCCAGTTGCCGGAGTCTTTTCCTGAGGCAAGGAAAGACTCTAGCAGGGGGAAAGGTGAAGCCTTTCCCAGCTACCTCTCCGGTGTCAGAGCTTTTCCCTGCAGCAGGGAATGACTCCAGCAGCAGACAGTTTGCACAGCCTTTCCCTGCTGCCCCCTCACTGTCAGAGTTCTTCCCCACTGGATGAGTTAAAAATAACAGTGTAGAGGCAAGTAGAGGGGGTAAAGTATGTACTCACATACACACACACACACACACACACACACACTCTTCAGGTGTCTTTACTTGTCTAAGCCAGGCCTCACTAGCTCCACTGTTATTTATACCCAGGCTAAGGGGGCTAGAGGGATATGTACTCTACATGCTGCCAAAAGACGCATGCAGCATGCACGTATCCAGAGAGGAATTAGACAGACAACCCCTAAGTAGCAAAGCCTCCATGTAAGAGCCTCTATTCATCTTGTGACTATGTGGCTCAGTGAAGAAAATTGGTAAGTAAATTGTTTGGTTGAGGTGAAAGTCCAAGACCATCTCTTTAAAAAACTTGGGGTGAGGCCTGGTAGAGACTTTGTCCTTATTTAAAAAAAAAGGAAAAATGTGTAGGAGGTCCTACTCTGAGGCTTGCAGATCCCCCATCCTCCTGGCCAACATGGTAGCCACAAGGAGTGAGGGAAGAACATAACTCAGTTTACTCTCTGGAAAAAAAAAAAAAACATCTTTATGATTGATTTCAGATGGAACAGCAACAGTGTGAGTGTGCACCCTGCCCCCACCCCCACCGTTTATTTCCTGTTAATTGGTTCAGAGCAGGAATGACTGAACTAAGAAATACTGAGTGTTGTTTTCAGAAGCAAGTTTAAGCAAGACTTTCCCTTTGTCTGTGGTGGAAGATAATAAGGTATAGTACCTTGGTCTGAAGCACATAGTTTTCTTGACTCTGCTGAAAAAGCTCTTTGTCATGTTGCATTTTCATTTCTACCATCTTATTCTCCATTTCCTTCTCTTTTTGTGAAAATGAATCTTTTAGCTGCTGAATTAAATCATGTGCTGCTTTCAACTTTTCCTCTGCTTCCTTGACTCTTTTTAGCAAATAAAGCTCTCTCGCACAGTTTTTGACAGGGAAAAGTGAGGAATCCTGGTGAAGAAAAATTACCAGAGAAACACTGCATTGAGATCATTAATAATTTATTTTCATTTCAATAAGATGAATTGAAGATTTAAGGTTAGCCAATACTACATCTTCTTTCTTCTGTGAACTATTTCACTCAGCACTATGAAGATATAAAGAGCTGAACAGGAGTGTTAATACAGTTAAGCAAGATTAAGTGTCCAATGCCAGCAGATATCAGGGTGGAGGAGAAAAGAATTGGGAAGGATCTTCACAGGTAAAATATACAATAAAAGTTATAAAATTATTGTCTTTAGGTTTTGGGGGGTTTTTTTTAAGCAAGTCACGTAAAATGCAATTTAAAAGTACTATTTATACTATGGTTCTGGTAAAAAATGGCACCAATTTCAAAGAGCTTCTCCTTGTATGTGTGCCAAATCCTATAATCTTACTTTAGAGATAAAAATGGATTTCTAACTACTTTTACTCTTCTTAAGAGCTAATTCTGATAAGAGCGAATCAGTTGGATTCTAGTCTGACTCATACTTCAGAATGGCTAAATCCCAATAACAAAATAAATATTTCAAGGTGAACAAAGCTGTTAAGGCACCTTTGAGTTGTAGTAGCTCTAGGGCCAGATTTTTCTATTAGCTGCACATACATGCAGTTGCCACCAACTTCAGCAGAAGTTGAACATGAACGGATGATGGGATAATGAGGACCTTTTAATATATTTCAGTACGGTAGGATAAAAAAAGATGTTACTTACCTGTTCTGTAACACTTGCTCTTCAAGTGATTGCACATGTCCATTCCATGTGAGGCATGTGTGCCAAGTGCACTGAAGCCAGGGATTTTTTTTCCTTAGCGGTATCCACGGAGGTAGTGCCTATGCCTGCGTGTACTCCTGGCCCAAGGTACAAAACTTGGAGCCACCCCAACACTTTTCAGTTCCTTTTCAGCACTGGAATCCATAGCAAGCTAGCTTCTGAAGCAGAGGGGAAGGTGGGTGGGGTGTGGAATGGACATCTCGAAAAAACAGAACAGATAAGTCACTGTTTTTCCTTCAGGTGTTTGCACACGTCCATTCCACATTAGGTGACTCCCAAGCAGTTTGAAATGGAGGCAGAGCTCAGATCCTGTCTGAAAAGGGATTGTAGAACTGCCTTTCCAAAGCTGGTATCATCCCTAGAAGCTGCAGCAATACCATAATACTTGGTAAACGAACGTGCATGTGTCAGAAATTGGGATATTTTCCCAAAATGCTATTGAAGTTGCTTGAACTCCTATGGAATATTCAGAAATCTTTGAAGGAGCAGTGGCCTCAGGAATCTCATAACACACTGATATGTATGATGTGCTCTAATTGGAAATTCTTTGCAAGGAAACTGCCAGCTCCTTCATTCTGTCTGCAAAGGAGACAAACAGCTGAGGGATGCACAGAATGGCTTAGTTCTGTCGAAGCAGCAGGCCAGGGCTCTATGCATGCCTAAAGAGTGGAGCCTCTATTCATCTTGTGACTATGTAGCTCAGTGAAGAAAATTGGTAAGTAAATTGTTTGGTTGAGGTGAAAGTCTATCATCATCTTTAAAAAACTTGGGGTGAGACCTGGTAGAAACTTTTTTTTTTTTTAAATAATAAAAGGACAAAGTGTAGGAGGCCGTACTCTGAGGGCCTGCAGATCCCCCATCCTCCTAGCCAACATGGTAGCCACAAGGAAAGCCACTTTGACTGAAAGCGATGTAATCAGGAGCATGCAACCAGTGACTCACAAGGTGGGCCATTAGAAGTAATACTAGATTCAAGTCCCAGGACAAGGGCAGTGAGAAGGAACTAAAGGGGGATCAGAGTGTCTCCACCCTATGTACTCTTGGCTGGGATTACAAATAGATGCAAGGCACACAAGCAGCCCTGATCAGTACTGCTATGTGAAAAATCTCTTTCTGCAGTTCACTGGGTGTGCCCACACTTAGTGTGGAATGGATATGTGCAATCACTTGAATTGACAGTTATTCCCAAGGAGGAGTGAACACAAATTTCAGAACCCATGTAAAACTGCAGCACTGGCATGCACACGCGTACACACACACACACACACACACACACACACACACACACACACAGTAGTTTATTACTAAACTAAGTAAAAAGTTAATAGTAGGAA